AAAAAAAAAAAAAAAAAAAAAAAAAAAAAAAAAAGTTTCTTCCAGCTTGTGATGTTTCTTGTCTTAATAGGACTTTGAGGGCTGGGGGGATGGCTCAGCAGGTAAAGCACTTGCTTGCCCATGCCTGAGAACTGATATTCAGATCTCCAGAACCCATGTAAATATCAGGTGTGTATGGCAGCCTGCCAGTAATCCCAGAGCTGAGAAGGCAGAAACAGAAGAGCCCCAGATCAAGCTGATTAGTTAGACCAGTAGAATCAGTAAGGTCTAGACTCTTCCTCAGTGTGTAAACGTGGGAGAGTGAACAAGGACACCAGATGTCAACCTCCGAACTCCACGTACTCACACTCACACATAACCCACACAAACACATGTCCACACACATGAGAACACATGTATAGACATGCATGTCATACATACATATACATACAAAAATACCCCCCCAGAGGGTACCTTGAGAGATAGGAGGTTTTTAACTTTGATGGTGATCTAGCTTTTGTTTTATGAATCTTGCTTTTTGTGTTACTTTAAAGGAAAAGTTTTTGCCTAACAGCAGAATGAAGATTTTTCTCTCATGTTGTCTTCTAGATGTTAAATAGTTTTAGGCTGTATTCTCAGGTTTATTATCTACTTTGAGTTAAAAAAAATTTTAAAAAAAATCTGTGTTGCTAAGTATGGCTCTTTTTTTAGCGTCTATGTATCTGATTATTGTGGTGCCCTCTGTTAAAAAGGCTGTCATTTATCAAAAGGCCTTGCCATCTTTGCTGAAACATATATTGAGCATGTATGTATTGTATTGTAGATCTAATGGTCAACATGATCACCACTGCCGATCTTCATGATTTTTATCATAAATATTGTAATCTCATAGTGGACATCCTCAAAATTTGTTTTTAAAGGTTATACCAGATCTTTTGTTTTACCACATGAAACTTTAGCTTACCAATCTCTTCAAAAAGTGTTGAGTTTTTAAAATTTGGATTACGTTTTAACTATTGATCAGTGGGTGGAGAGTTGACCCCCAACCACCTTGTGTCTTTGGATCTGTTAATACAGTATGTATCTTCATTTGTTTCATTGAAACTGTGGCTTTCAGCAAATAGTTCTTATTCTCACCAAACTTATCCCTATTTTATTTTGGCGTTACTATAAATATTCAGTTTCTCATACTGAGAATCAAATGAATATGTGGTTGGAACTTAGGAAAGTGCTTAGGAAAGAGTTTAATACAGAACTAAAAACCATAAATGAGTTTGCTACTTCTATTTGTTTCCTGAGGAGACATAGCACAAATATGTCTATTTACTCCAGATAGGGAGCCCATAACAGACCAAAGTAATAATTATAACAATGTCTAAGTTGGTGAATCAATGAATTTTATTGGGGCTACTCATAGGAATATGAATGAGAGGTTACTTACAGGAACAGAAATCACTCAAGGACAGCTGCATCACCAAAGCCTTCTCCAACATAGATGGCAGCTCCCAAAGCTGGGAACCCAGATCACACTGTATGACCTACAGAACAGTCCCAACTGGTTCAGTCCTTTCCAGGTGGTTCAGTTGGTCTGAGCCTTTTCCAGACAGATTAGTTGGTCTCTGCTGCTGGACTTGTCTGAAAGTAACTCTCAACAGGTTTTACTAAGTATATACTTTTGGGGAGGAAGGAAAGGAGTCTGGTGAATGTGGTCAGTTTCAAGGACTCCCTGAAGCTATTTTGAATTATTTCCTGTTTCAATCTTAGAGGAAACTCTCACACAACACTATTGCTATTAGCAAATAATCATATTGACATGGTCAGTTTCATAAAATGTATTGGGACAGGTCATTTAAGTGTTAGTAAATCCAAGAATTCTGTATCTGGTTTTATAGTTCCTCACCACACTTAACCTATTACAGCCCAAATCACAAACCCTGTCAGTGAGGGACGGTGTGACTAGGCCTACATTTATAGTAAGACACTTCTGCGCAGGTCTTTGAACTGAACACAAAGGAGTTATAGAGGAATTGTACTGAGCAGCCCAACGGGAATCAGAGAGTCAACATAGTTTGTTTTTCCCCTCATATAGTAATTATGCTATATCTCTTCCCAGAGAGAATGTTATGATTGGATCAGCACATGTTCATACCTCATTTCTGATGTCAAAGGGAGGAAAATACGATTACTGTCATATGAGGAAGCAGAGAAGCTGATCGGGGAAGAGGTATTTACTACATGCTGGTATCATTTGGTTTGTAAGGAAACGAGTGGGATAGTCGTTAGTAAGGTCATACTCAGGTTCTTCCTGAATCTCACGGCACACAAGTTGTAGCGTCTTTCTGAAATTGCTGTTCTACATCCTCACTATAGACTGCTGGAAGAGAATTCGTCTCTGATCTAGAGTGTCAGCAGTTCTTCTTCCTCCTGTCAAGGAAGACTCCCCGCCCCCCCCTCTCTCTCTCTCTCTCTCACACACACACACACACACACACACACACACACACACACACACACGAAGCATGGTCTCACTCTGTAGCTCTGGCTAGCCTGGAACTCCCATCAGCCTCTGCCTCTTGAATGATGGGATCAAAGGTGTGTACCATCACTCCTGGCTTGAATCTATTTCTTAAGGGAACATGACTTTCAGATGAGGGTTCCTTGAGGGTCCTGTGGTCACCAGGGTTATGTCCCCTTTTGAGTATATCATCTGTGGAATATCCTCTTTTGTATCTCTAACATCTTTCCAGTGGTTCCATCTAACCTATCTGAAAATATTTTATAAACATGGTAAGTTCTCCCATTCTAAAAATCTGTCCTCTGATATTTTTTTTACCTCATTTTTCTCTCTTCTTCCATCATAATCATTTTTTTAATGGCACTGATCTTACCCAGGTCTTAATGAATGCTGAGCAACCCCTGAGTCATAGACCCCGACCCACATGGGTTCCGTTAAAATTCTAAAGCTTCTGTGAGTCACTAGTAACTTTATTACCTGCTCTAGAATGTTCAGTTCCCCATTTAACCTGGCTTCCCTTTGGCATTTGGCTCTTTTAACTCTCCATTGCTTTGGTAAACTCTCCTTACAAGACAAAGTTCCTGGATTTCATCCTCTTTGGTCTATTTCCCCTTGTTTTCGTCATCTACTTCTGCCTGTGTGTGACATGTTGAGACTCTGTCCTTAGGGTGCACCCAATACCTTTTCTACATCCCTACATGGTATTGTATTCATCCAGTTTCTTGTATGTTGAGATGGAGTCTCTTGTAGCCCAGACTTGCTTGAACTGTTCAGGATAGGCTCCTCTTGACCTTGAACTTGTGGCAATCTTTCTTCATCTGCTGCTTAAGTGCTGGGATTACAGGTGTGAGCCGTCAATCCTGGCCTGGCCTGTGTTTTTAACTACCACCAGCTTACCAGTGATTTCAGATCAGTACTCACTGATTATTTCGTGATAGTCCTTCAGTCTCTGACTGACTGGCATTTACCTCTGGTAAAATCTGAAGAAGCTCCTGTTATGACAGCCACACCCACAGTATGATCTGATGGCATGCATGTTAATGCCCCTGGGTCTGAGAGGAAGATGTCTCTATGCAAACATTTTTAAGACCTTATACATAGACTTTTAAAAAATTGTGCATCTTCAATAAAACCTTTTCTAGGTTGACCAGATTGTGGCCAGAATTATTTCTAAATTAACCACTGAAAGATTTCATTGACATTGTAAATCTTAAACTGCAGTATAATACTAGAAACTTGATAAAGTAACATAGTCATGATTGTGGTTACAAACTAATCCAGGGGAACCATTTAAGTATACAGAATCAGTTGGGTATGGCGACAAACATCTGTAATCCAAGCCCTTGGGAGGAAGAGGCCGGATGATAGGAGTCAAGGTCACCTTTATTACACAGCAAGTTCTAGGCCAGCCTGTACTACAAAATACCTTATATCCAATAAGCAATCAGCACATAAACTTTTTTTAGAAAGTATACGTAACTCTAGAGACGTGACAGCAGAGAGAACCTTACAGGTGATTTAACTCAACCTGACAAGAATTTGATTCGTGACTCTTAAGGGAGCATGTAGCACACATGATCACTGTGCTCAGGTCTCACTGATGACAGAGATGCCTTCAAAAACAATCCATGTGGTTTTGATAAGCAGTTGAGTGCTGAACATTAGTCTCTCTACTGAGATGAATGTGCTGTGTCTCCCTGTATCCTTTCCTAGCAACTGCTGATAATTCCTTTTTTTTAACATCTAATTCAATGGTTAAGTTAATATCTTTGACATTATAAAATTTCCAATACTTGGCAATATTCAATCAAAGTCTATTTCTGGATTTTTCTATTTTTCTTTGATCTGTTTATTCATGAACTATTACAACTTTTTTTCTTTTTAAGATTTATTTCTATTTCTAAAATTGTGTGTGTGTGTGTGTACACTCATGCAGGTGACTTTCGAAGTCCAAAAATGGGTAATGGAACCTTTGGAGCTGGAGTTACAGGCAGTTGTGAGCTGCCTGACCTGGGTGCTAAGAACTGACTTTGGGTCTTGTAGAACAACAAGTGTTCTAACCCGAGTGCTCCCTCTCCCTCGCTCCCTCCCTCCCTCACCCCTCCCCTCTCTCTGGCTCCTTTCTCCTTGTTTCTGACTTTAGTAGGAATGCTTTTTAATGATTTGTCTTTAAGATGTTGGAGGCTGTGTCTGGTGATGCATGCTTTTAATCCTAGCTGTCAGGAAGCAGGCTGATCTCTCTTAAATTCTGCATAGTGAGTTAGTTCTAGGCCAGTCAGAGCTGTATACAGAGACCTTGTCTCAAAACAAAACAACAACAAATCAACTAACCAAACATACAAGGAAGGAAGGAAGGAAGGAAGGAAGGAAGGAAGGAAGGAAGGAAGAAGGGAAAAAAGGAAACAACATTATTAAAAATTTAAAACAATAGACTGACCTACCAATTAATGTCTTTATTGTTCCTTCAGAAATTTCAGCTCTTGTATATAGAGACATTTTTTTCTTCTGCCTTATCCTTTAAAATTCTTGTTTGTTCTCTCTTCCCTCCCTCCCCTCCACTTCTTCCTCCTTGTTCTCTCCCTTCTCCTTCTCCCCCTTTTCCTTCTCTTCTTCTTCCTTCTCTTCTTTTTCTTTCTAATTGAGATTCTATCTACTGGTTTTTGCTTGTCTGAAATGTCTTTGCTTCAACTTCATTCTTCAAAGTTTTACTGTGCATGCAATTAGCTCTACAATTCTCTCAATATGTTGACAACATTATTTCTATTGATGTCTGGATATTACTGTTACAAAATTAATGATGGAGAATTCAGCTGTCAGTTCCTTTGAATATAATCCATCCTTTTCCTCTGGTGACTTTTAAGACCCCCCCTTACCTTTAGCATTCTGCACCCTCACTCTGATGTATATGGGCATCTTTTGTCAGAATTTGAATAGATGCCTTTCAGGCATTGGATACTGTTAACTCCTCTCTCTGGGCTCTCCTGGTAACCCTCGGACTTCTGGGGCTACTCTTGGGATCCTTTCTCTTCTTTACTGTTTTATGTAACTAGTTTTTGTCTTATGTCATTGCACCACAAGTTTATGAAGAAATGTGATTTATTTTCTTAGTTTTAACTAAATGAATATAACTGTTAAACATTTAGCCCAAATTGAAGTCTCTAGACTCCAGATGCATATTTATACTTAGCCATCTCAGTAGTGCCTTGAACATGCACAGCTAACTGAAACTTGTTAGTGGCATTTTTGGAAAAAAAAAATGTTGCAGTTTAATCTCTTAACTCAGCTAGTTCCCAAATAATTGTGACAGGACTAGGAGATTTATATAACAAGCTTTTAGGGCACAACAACTGAGGAGTATTAACCTATATTAATCCTCTAAACTAATCTCCTGGCCAAAAATCCTCTAGATACTTGCATTTGATGGCTTTCTCTGCTCCAGGAATTTTTCCATGGTGTCTCTAGGACTCTTTCCCTGCAGCTGATTCCACACTTTCTCTCTCTCTCTCTCTCTCTCTCTCTCTCTCTCTCTCTCTCTCTCTCTCTCTCTCTCTTTCTCTTTCCCTTTTCTGGCTGGAAGGAAGAGGAGCCCTTTTCTCTCCCCTGCTCAGTCATTGGCTGATCAACTTCTTTATTGACCAATCAGGAAATAACTGGGGAGCAATGTTTATACAGCACGGAGGGACAGGAGATTCTCAGAGTAAGGTTGCAGTCAGATATGTTAACACAGACATCAGCATTTGAATAACAGAAGGATAATCTTTATGTAATGCACAATAACACTATGCATACAGGAAGTCACGTCACTCCAAACCTGCTTCCTCAACCTTGCCCATTATCTCGGTGAACAGCATCACCTTTAGTGTTATAAGCCATCAATCATGTGTCACTCAAGATGCACCTTTTCCCTAACTGTTTTGTGTCCGTTCATTGGTCAATAAAAAGCACTTCTTCAGTATCACTGGACCACCCTTCTCTTTACTGCTACAAACGCTGTATTCACTCTCTCCTTGGATTTCTTCCTTTCATTCTTTTTCTGATCTGATTTCCTATTGTGAGAAGGATTGCTTTAAAATTTAAATCAGATTAATTAAAAAAAATGTTCTGCTGCCTTTTGGATGTTTTGTCACCTTTAGGATACAATCCAGTCTCTTGACATGACAATTCAGTCTTGAGTTAGAGTTGTGCCTCAGAGGGTTTTGTCCTGTCTTATGGAACCACTGTTCTTCTCGGAACCCCTCTGTGCCTTCTTCTTTCCCCTTCTCACACCACAAGAAAAAGTACTCCGCCATTATTGCCTCCTCATTGACTGGCCTTGTGGTGCCCTGGCTTATTGGAGCTTGGATGTTCTTGCTTCGTGCTTTGTTATAAGATTGTGCCATCTGCAAATGGGGAGCTTTATGAGGGCAGGAATCACCCTCGCCTCCATTTGTGTTTTTTTAAAAGACTTTATTGTTATTTAAATTATCCATACGTGTGTAGATTTGTGCACATGAGTGCAGGTGCCTGAAGAGGCTGCCTGATCTCCCTGGAGCTGCCTCTTAAGATGCTGGGAGAAGTTTGTGCTGTTAATCATTGAGCCATCATTTACCCCATCCCCCATTTGTGTTCTTATTCATAGCAGAATACTCATTTGTAGGATTAGTGCTCATTTACTATGAAACTGCTATTTGCATACATGAATTACATTATATAAATACATTTTATAATACTGTTGTTACATTTCACAGGAAGCTACAAAAATTTATTTTGACCCAGAAAAACCTCCTATTGATGATACTGATGATGAAATTGACTTTAAGAAGCCTGAGGTTCAAGAAAAGGAAGCACCACCACCACCATCACCACCTGCAGCAGCAGCAGCAGCAGAAGCAACAGAAGCAGCAACAGAAGCAGCAGCAGCAGCAGCAGAAGCAACAGAAGCAACAGAAGCACCAGCAGAAACAACAGAAGCAGCAGAAACAGTGGAAGCAGAAGTCACAACAGGACAGGTAAGATTATTTGCTGGACATAATGACAGGTGCCTATAATCTCAGCTACCTAGGAGGCTGACACAGGACTCTTTTAAGCCTGGAAGTTCACAACTTGGCAACACAGTGAGAACAAAACAAATAAAACAACCAAAAAACCTAAGAAGATAAATAAAAATGACGTGATTATTTAGCGTTAGTTTCTCCCTTCTTTTGAAAGACTAAGTGATAACAGAAATATAAGATAGAAGTAGATCTGTTGGAGTGAATGCTTCAACCTCCTTTCCCCATTCAGGTGTAGCCACACCTGCGATGTACTCATCTTTCCAGGTGTAGCCACACCTGCAGGTGTACTCATCCATCAGGTGTAGCCACACCTGCAGGTGTACTCATCCTTCCAGATGTAGCCACACCTGCAGGTGTACTCATCCTTCCAGGTGTAGCCACAC